CTCCGGCCAAGCTCCCTGCTGAGCGTCCCTGCGGCAGCCGCGCCCTCTCCGGGGGGCCCGCTGCCCGGCGGTGGCTGCGGGTGGGCCCTCCTGGTCTCCTGCTCCTTTACTGTCCGTCTTCATCCTGGATGGGGGGCCACTCCTTTGTATCTGCTTCTTCCGAACCCCCAGGAGTCCTCTTTTATGTCTGCTAGTCATTAACCTCCTTCTAGTAAAGAACAATTCATTATATTACACTTTCCCTGTTCAGTTAAACAGTGTGGTTTCTGCCTCCAGGACTGGATGCTTACTGATATCCATGTGGAAGAGAGATCAGCCTTTTTCTGACTATTTTCTGTAGCTACAATGATAAGTAGGGAGTCAGAAGCAAAAGAATGAAGAACTTTCAAAGGTCAGAGCTACAAGGAAGAGACTGCATTGAATTACAATGATTCTTCTGCCACTGGCACCCACCATCCCCGACCCCCGCAGGAAGGCCACGGTGGGATTTAAGCATCAACTCAGGTAGGACTGGATGGAAGTGAAGCTCACCCCTAACTGGGCGCCTGGATTTCACCATCTCCTTCTTGCCTCATCTAATAATTGGTTCTCAGTTCTCCTGTCAGCATCTCCGAGGCACGATTACAGGTTAGCTTTGCAAAGCCATGGATGCAGTGTGAAAAGGGGGCCAAGATCTGCTGTGGAACACAAGTGTTCCCCTGGGCTTTTGCAAAAGCATCAGTACTATGGCCCGAGTTACTTCTACTTCACGAGCACCTGGATCTGGAATTTCTGAAAATGCTCTAACCATCAACAGCTTAAGATCTGGCGGAGCTACGGGGCCATTGCAGGAGATGGCTCTTCATTTGCAAAATTGCCATCAGTGTCTCCCACCCACTTTTGTGTGGCTCCAAGAAGTTCATCCGTGGAGCGTGGGCTGGAAGGGCAAGCAGGATCTGAGTAACTCAGTCGTGGCGGGGCTGGGGGGGGGTCCCTTCAGTGTCGAATGGGTCTTGATCAGCCCTTCCCGTGATGAAAAGGTAACATCAACTTACTCCTTTTGGCACACATTGGCTTCACCACACGACGCCATCATTTTTCAAATTCCCCCAGTGGCTGCACCGAAGGCTCCCCCTGCCGCTTGGCTTCCAGCTTCTGCTTCTTGATTTTCTGATAATGTGACCTTTAATTTTTACGTAAGGTTGTTCAGAGAAGAATGACCCCTTGCAGTCATCCAGCACCGTGAACGCTGTCCTTTAGAAGTCGGAACGGGTCCTTTTGTCCCATTAACTTTTCCTGGGCTTTTACTTTCACGCAGTTTTTTTTCTTTCTTTCTCTTTGTTTGTGTTCAGTGGTTCTGCCTTTGTTCTTCTATTTTTTATTTTGTCGTGTGTTGCTTTTAATGATTACGTTTTATATCAGGCATCTTAGATACGCCACTGTTGTTTTCAGTGGGTCTCTGTTGTGGACTGAATTATACACACCCCCCAATCCCTATGTTAAAGCCCTGATCCCCAGGGAGACTGCATTTGGAAATAGAGCCTTTTTACGGAGGGGCCTTAATCTGCAAGGCCTGGGGTCCTTGGAGGAGGAGGAAGGGACACCAGAAATCCCTCTCTCTCCCTCGCCTCCTGGAGGAAAGGCCACGTGAGGACACAGCAAGAAGGCCGCCGTCTGCAAGCCAGGAGAAGTGGCCTCGCCTTAATCTGGGATTTCCAGCCTCCAGAATCGTGGAAAATAAATTTCCGTTGTCGAAGCACCCGGTCTGTGAGAGTCTGTTGACAGTCCAAGCTGACTAACGCAGCCTTTTAAAATATACACGAATGGATTTTGCTTTTCAATCAGTTTAAGAATTTTTGTAAAGGGCTGTCAAATTCATTTGCTTTCAATTTCTTTTGCCCCTATGTTCTTTTTAATGCTTTCTTTTCAAATATTTCCCCCGTCATTTGCCTTCCCAATGTGACCTAAGTCTCATTTCTTTCATCTTTGCATCTGTGCACAGCGAATTTTATGTGCCAGTTAAGACAATGGGGGTATAGCCTTTAAGCCATTGGAATAGAGGTGATAGTTGAAATTGCAGGAGTATTTGATGGCCTGAGAAAGAAAGTGTATGCATAGAAAAAGGGAAAAAACAAAAAGCAAAGGACTGAGAAATCCTTGGGGCATGTGTGCATTAGACAGAGGAGTGGAGCTGTAACAGAGGCGCTGGGGAACCCAGGTGACTCGAAACCACAGGTGCAAAGGGGAGAGAGCCTCCAGAAGGCAGGTCTGCCTACCAGATCCAAGGCCTCAGGGAAGCCAAGCAAGATTCAACTGAGAAAAGATCCCTGGGGTCTCGAGGAGTCACCTTTAGCTAAGAGGTGGAGGCGAAGGCCGAGGTTCAGTGAGTGCTGAGATAAACTTGACTTCTTACAAGACCTTGAGCAGGAAAAGAGGAGAGAACAAGGCTTACGGCTTCGGGGCAGCTGGTACCCGGCCCTGGAAGAGACCAGGACATGCGTATTAATATTGGAGACAAGACTGATAAGGCCAAGTGGAAAAGGTATCCTTGGTGGAGCACAGTCTGCAAAGAGAAATGTTAATAGGTTTGGGGTACCACTGAAGAATGAGCACCCCCTCCCCTCATTCCTAACTTGAGGGTAGGCATTAAGCATGGAGCTCATAATAGGCCAGACTCCATGAATCTTCCCCTGCTGACGCCAAGGCCTTAGAGCAGGCGGCGCTGGAGCAGTCTTGGGGAAAATCAATTACCAGCCCAGGAGGGGGCGGGGGTCATCTGCAAGTCAATGGCTGCCATGTCTAAACCCACTGATTCGGTGAGTGTCCTGGGAGAGTCTGAGGATGAGCAAATGCAGCATTTGGGGGTGAGATGCTTCATGTTCTATCTCATTTGTGTCTCACAATCACTCTGAGATTTTTCATTGGACCCATTTTACAGACTAAGCTTGGAAGTTGTGTGCGCTGCCCAGGGAGGCAGAGCTGGCAGTCGATGGGAACAGCAGCCCGACCCCTTGGCCCCGGCCCAGTGTCCTTTTCACGATGGAACACTTCTTTCCAGCACTGATCTCAACAGCCAAGCCACGTAAAGGGGCTAGAACAAGAGCCTCAACACTACAGAGCATGAAGGGGACATCACAGCAGGCACTGCGTCTCTCCTCTCGAGTGACTGATTCTCCCACGTTCACCACCTCTGCTCCTGGGGCGAGAGTTCTTGCCTGGCACACAGTGAGGTATATGATAACCTCTAGGTTAATCACAATGAGAATCATAAAAGAATGTGCAACAAAAATGCTCATAGAGGAAAATGAGGGAATAATAAAAATAGTTGATAAATCCCAAGAAGGCATAAAGGCAAAGACAGAACAAAGAACAATTTCCTCCTGTATACACTCTTCAGCAAAAATTGTATCTCTACTGACTCTGCCCTCCTTTCTCTGTTGCAATAATTATGCTACCGATGACTTGATCACTACGAACACCGTTTGTCTTGTCACACTTTTTCTCATTTAATCTTTATACAAACCTTGGAAGGCAGGTGCTATTATGTATGTTTTACTAATAACAAGACAAGTGAGTTCAAGTACCTTGCCCGAGAAATAAAAACCAGTAAGTGTCTTAAACCAGAACCTCACCCTCATCCGTCCCCACAGAGGCTCAGGGCAAGGGGACGGCGTGCAGGACTCCGATGCTCCGGTAGACAAAGCCCTTTGCAGCCGTTCTGACTTGTGATCCATTTTGCACCAGGCATTTTGGTGCAAAGGACACTTATTACATGTATTAAAGGGGTACCATGCTAGATTCTAGAAATATCAAAACTACTTAATCTGGCTGGCCACTCTCACTGAAAGCAGAAAAATGAGGGTTTTTTTTAATTATAAAACTTTTATTTGGGATAATTGTAGCTTCATATGCACCTGTAAGAAATGATACAGAGAGACCCTGTGTCCTTTTTACCCAGTTTTCCCCCAATGGTACCATCTCACAAAGCCATAATACGGTATCACACAGTATACTGACATGGATACAGCCAGGGTACACATTTGCACCACCTCATGCTGCCCTTCCATAGCCACGCCCACTCCCCTCCTGCTCACACTGCCGCCTCAGCCTCTGGCAACCACTAATCTGCTCTCCATTTCTACTATTTTGTCATTTCAAGAATATTATATAAACGGAATCATACAGTATGTAAGCTTCTGAGACTGGCATTGTTTTCACTCAGTATGATTCCCTAGAGAGTCCGCCAGGTTGCTACGTGTATCTGTAGTTTCCTTTATTAGTAGCAGTACCATCGCCGTTGCGTGTTCTGTGGCACAGATGCACCGTAGTTTGTTCAGCCATTCACATATTACAGAATGTCCGGGTTTTGTCCAGTTTGGAGCTATTGCACCTCAAGCGGCTATGAACATCTGTCTACAGATTTTTGTGTGTTTAATTGCATTTCTCTTGACTAAATGCCCAAGAAAGTAACTGATCAGTTGTTGCTGCACGTCTAGCTTTATATGGAACTGCTCAGCGGCTCCCTACGTCGGTCATACTACCTGACACTCCCCCGCGATGTGTGAGCGGTCCAGTTCCTCCACATCCTCCTCTGCTCTTGGTGTTGTCACCAGTGTTGTGTCAGGTAATTCAAACGTGTCTGTCATTTTGATCTTGACGTCTATTATTGTCTTTTTTTTTAACTGAAGTACAGTCAGTTTACAGTGTTGTGTCATTTCTGATACACAGCATGACGTTTCAGACATGCATATTCATACACATATTCATTCTCATATTGTTTTCCATTATAGGTTTCTACAAGATATTGAATATAGTTCCCTGGGCTCTACAGAAGAAATTTGTTGTTTATTTTGTGCATAGTATTTAGTATCTGCAAATCCCAAACTCCCCCACCTCCTTTACCCTCTGGTAACCATAAGTTTGTTTTCTATTCTGAGTCTTTTTCTGTTTTGTACATAAGTTCATTTGTGTCCTTTTTTTTTTAAGATTCCACATGTGAGTGATATCATATGGTATTTTTCTTTCTCTTTCTGATTTACATCACTTAGAATGAGGATCTCCAGGTCCATCCATGTTGCTGCAAATGGCATTATTTTATTCTTTCTTATGACTGAGTAGTATTCCATTGTATAAATTATACCACAGCTTCTTTATCCAGTCATCTGTTGATGGACATGTAGGCTGTTTCCATGTCTTGGCTGTTGTAAATAGTGCTGCTGTGAACATTGGGTGCAGGTGTCATTTTGAATTAGAGTTCCCTCCAGATACGTGCCCAGGAGCAGGACTGCTGCTTTGACACCTCAGATTTGATATTTGAAATCTTCCTGGTTCTTGATGTGGTGAGTGACTTTCCACTGATACCTGGACGTTTAGGGTAGTATGTTCTGAGACACTGGGTCTTTTTCAGACCTGCTCTAGCTGGTTTTCTTTGACACCAAACCAGTGGAGAAGCAGGGCTGCCCCCTTGCCTGAGTGGGGAGGGTCCTTCTTACTGCTGGGAAGGGGTGGGTGTTCTGGGACCTGCAGGCCTTCCCAGGTGCCCCCCTGGCTGGGACACAGTAATCACTTGTTACAGCCCCACTGACACCAAGGGGAGGGTGGCTCATCAATTCTGGGTGGCAGAGCAAGGCCTGACTCCCCACCAGGCCTGGTCTGACACCACGCCAGTGGCGGGGGAGGTGGCCCCTCGTCACTGCCGCGTGGGGAGGGAAGTCCGTCTGAACCCGCCCTGCTGGGGCGCTGGCGCGTCTCGGCACAGCGCGGCCGGGCGGCGGCCCGGGTTCCCCGCTCTGCCTTTGCCAGCGGGGTGGGCGGGGGCGCAGGTTTCTCTTTGGTGCTTGGCTGGAGTAGGGCAGTTGCTGCTCTAGGTTTTCTGTCTTGACAGGCCGCCCTCTCCTGGTCGCTGGGCCAGAGGAAACAGGCTCTGGTTGTGGTGTTGTTTGTTGGCACCTTTCTGAGTTAGTGGCTCTTCGACCCCAAATCTGGGATGCATGAGGCCAAAAGGGAACCCAGGAAATGGGTCCTGGTCTGCCTTCTGCCCACCCCTCAGGGGCTCCCTGTGGGTGCTCTGCACATAAAGTCCAGGGCTTTTAGTCGTATTCGGCACCTGCTCCAGCTTCCCAGAAGCGG